CAGCGCGAGCATCCAGCCCGCAAGAGAGATTAGCAGCCGCGCCATCGACAATGCAGGCTGCGCGCTGCATGGTTGACGCGGCCAGAGAGCATCTGGAGCCCACTACTTGAGCCGAAACAGATACGGACCTGAGGCAGCCGGCGTCATTGTAGCAGCATCCTGGCAATGCGCAGATATCTTTGATCGCTAAGCTGCTTCGATATGACCTGCAACAAAAGATCCTGAAAGGCACCAGAAATCGTGAGGCGTGAGGCTGGGCTGAAAACGACGGCGAGGTCAGACGTCATGTGATATGATACGTGTCAAGCGTGCGATCAACCGAGTGTTTCATTTGAACTGAATAGGCGTTCGAACACAAAGGGGCGGAGTCTTTGCTTGGCGCAGGGTTCTGGGACCTTTCCAACCCTAGGACGATGTGGTACGAGTACCGACTAAACGATAAAATACCCGTATACTGACCCTGGGAAAGGCACCGAACGTTTCGAGCCCAAACGAGTTCCAATGCCATTCTGAACAGAGTGGCCGTCATCCTCCTCCTGCCCCTCATCTTCCAACTCTCCTCATCATCCTCCTCCGTGTTCAGTCTGGCTCAAGCCACCTGGCGCCTGCAGGCTTCAGCCTCTCCCCCGCCTCGCATTGGTGGCAGGGTTGGCGCGGGCGTTGGCGGGATCCCCACTGTAGGTGGGGCGCCCAGGGGGGAAGGCAGATGAGGACGGGCGTTCTCGGAAGGCTCAGGAAGCCTTCTCCGAACACGGAGACAGCTTCTCAGCAGGCTGGAGGGCTTATGGGAAGCTCCGCCTCCTGGCGCGCGTGGGGCGCCTGGCACGCCTGGCGCATCTCGCCCCAGCGTAGCGCACATGAGGTCTGTTGTGGCTACCAGTACCTGTCCATCCAAAGACTACCGATGAACACGCTGCGGCTCGGGTGCTACTCATGTGTTGGGAGGGCGGGTGGGAGTGAGCGAGACGGCTTTCGGGCGGGGGCGGGTCTTGACCCCTCCCCCTACCCGCTCCCTCTGGACCTGGACGGGGCGCCCCGCGACCCATTAGAGCCTCCAAAATGGCCCAAGATGGCTCCAAGAGGGCCTCAGAAAGCCCAAGATAGTCGAAAGTGAGCCTGGTAACTCAAATAGCATCCGATTCCATGGGAAGCGGATGGCAAATAGCGTCCATTCCTCTGCTGCGGTGGTTCAGTATGGGGAATAGGCGGATAAGATAGGATAAGATCGATGTATCGGTCTTTCCAGCACATAGCGAACACTAAGGTAAGTGTCCGGGCAAATAGGGCGCGCGTGCCTTGAGCCAAAGGCAACGGCGCGCGAGCTATGCTCCCGATACTATAACATATCCCAAAGAGCTACCCTTAAAGTCGGCAGGGGAGGAGACGGAGAGCATAGCCGCGCAGCCGTTAGGCTCTTCAAAGGCCGCGCGCACGACTGTTTGCAAGAAAGAAAACAGTGCGTACAGTCTGGCCTAACACCAGACTGTAAGGCGAGTTTCCTCGCAAGGCATTTCACGCAAATACAAGATAGCCCCTTTGAACGATGAAGGGCTATCGGCTCAGTTAGAGGTAAGCCAAACAGGCCATACCTCACCGAGCAAATATGTATTAAGGCAAAGAGCCTGAGTCATACAAAGCCGGCTAGTTGCCAGGCGTGAAATGTAAGGCTCGTTTCCGAGCAACTAGAAGGGCGCCTCTATAGTAGGCGCCCATGCTGGCAAGTTGGACCGCGGGGGCAACAAGGACAGACTAAAATTGATTAGACTTGGGTTTGTCTCTGTCCTCGGGACCCCGAAAGGGAACAAACTGTTTCACGTCATACTTGAATGACTGAGTGCCTGACATCACTTCCAGAAGCAGCTCCCGATCGATGCTTCCCTTTGTATGCCCGTCTGCGGTCATATCCCTAGTATCACACCACTGCACGTTATGTACTATACCTATATCCATGAGCTCACGTATCCAACTGATGTGTCCAAGCAGAGTCCGCTCTGTCGGTATCTTAAGATCTTTGCTTGATAATGATTTATAAACGGACTCAGCGTCTATGGTAAGAGATACTTTGATGGCTAGGCCTCCAACTTCACGCATATCTCGTAGTTGTCGTGGAGTCAGAGCTCCTGCCTTGAGCTCGTGGAGAGTGATGAGCGTAGGGTAACACTCATCGAGGTTATGCGCCGCTGCGAGTGCCTCCGCAGCATAGCTGGACCTCACCTGCAGTCGGTGTGATTTGCATAGTCCGTCACAGAGGTGAACGACGGACTTGCCTTGAGGCGAGTTTCCTCGCCGTAGTACATTCGCCCCGCGTATGCCGTAGCCCTTGGTCTCATCATCCTCCTCCCCGGTAAGCTTCCGATACCCCGAATCGCTGTGGATGTCAACTTCATTCGTCGGCTTCATCCGAGGGAAGGTGATGCGTTTCGGGCTGCTGATCAGCTTTCGCGTCACAGCATTCAGGCGTCTGACTTGCAGATTGGTGGGCTCTTGGATTTTCTGGAGAGAGACCACGTATACCATGAGCCAGATTTGAGTAAGAAGGGCATAGGCGAGGGCTCCTCGCAAGCTGACGAACATGTCGGTAATGAGTTTAGTGGCTTTGGCATCGGCCGCCGCTCCTGTAAGTTCTGGGTGTGTGATAGAACGTAGTTGTTTGATATATTCGTCCTGATCCATAATCACATCCCATTGATCATTTTTAGTGTAGCGAACGGCGCAGTTCGTATATGTGT